TGTGTGTGTGTGTGTGTGTGTGTGTGTGTGTGTGTGTGTGTGTGTGTTGCAAACTAGCAAGTATTTATAGTGTTGTAATTACATTTCCTTGAGAAATATTTTCTTGTATTTAAAACCTTTCTACTTCAGTGACTCTCTTAGCACAACAGTGCCCAGGACAGCATGTGCTGGTTGGTACCAGCTCTGCAGGTGAGCTAACTTCTAAAATTACGATGACGTCTTCATCAAACCACTGCACAGTCCGGGAAAAGGGGTCCTTTATGTTCTAAGTTCTGCTCCCTGCCTTTTTGGAACCAAAATTGCAATGAAGTTTTAGGAAAGGTTTTGAAAAACGCAGTGTTGAGATGTCTGCATTGCACGTTCAGCCAGTTCAAGGCCAGCAGCTCGTGCCTGCATTCTGTAGACAGCGCCCTCACGAGCACAGCCCTCTGACAGCTCTCGTATAAAGCACTCGAACCGTAGGAAAGCATGTTTTTGAGCAACGTGTTGGGTAACCACTCGGGATACTCCTCTGTGTGGTTATTTTGAATCTATTTCTGTCACTGAAGCAGCAAAAAACATCATGTGACTCATCAACTGCTCTAAACCACACATAAAACAGGATGTAGAGAAAAATCTGAATAAAAATGTAAAAGGGCCTGTTGCCTAAAGCAAAATGTCTAAAATCAAGCAAATGTTCAAAATGAGAGAAATTACATTGTGCAATCAAAATTACCCAAACTCCACTCAGAAGTCAGAAAAGTCACAAATACATAGTATACTACTGATCTCAAAAGGGAAAAATGAGATGGTGAGACCTTAAGACTATTTTCTTCTCAAGAGGGGACATCAAATCTATTAACTTGCAACTTTCTGCTAGGAAGAGCATCAAAGGTGGGCCTCCTAAATCATTTTTGAGAAATCTTTGTCAAGTCCAAGTGGTTCCAGGAGAATTATAGCCAGTATCTTTTAAAATATTTCATTTAGTGATAATGTTTTTCTCTGCTTCATTTTGCAATCAACCAGGGTCTCTAAAAGACGGCATAAGATATATGCACTTTTACAGATGGCTGTCAGCTACACATAGATTCAGCCAGTGTTTTTTATATAGTACCTGTTTTTAAGTTAGGTTATGTAACTTGAATTGCACTTTACTAACAAGACTTGACATTAGCATATACAATATGTTTATGTAAACAAAAGCACACAAGAACTAGGCACCCTTTCTCTCTCCAAGACTCTGAGTGGTTTCCTAAGGTTAAATAAGAGGAGAGAAAGGGACAGACCAGCTAAAAATGGTTGTACCACTCACTACAACCTCGTGGAAATTCTTACTATAAGACTTAGGGTCAATGTTCCCTATGAATGAGCCAGGATAAGAAATGGCACCTTTGGAGTTGGGGAACATCACAACCAGGTAGATGCTGGTTCCCTGAAGTTGGGGCCGTGAACATCTGGGGACCCACTGTTTGAATAAACCAGCTACTGAAAGCTACGTTCACCCTTGCGTAACAAAGGGACAGGGTATGCAGCAACACCAATCACCCAGCACCCCACAGCATTAGCCATGTCACCTTGCAGCAGGCCCCTCACCCCAGTGCTGCCACATCCACAAGCCTCGCAGTACAAAATGTGCTGCTCCTTGGATTCAACGAGATATTCTGGTTGCTTAATGACATATTGATCAGGAACTAGCTAAAGCTAGTAGGACCAAGGAGCTAGTTGAAGGGCTTCGGGAAAGTGGACAGAGCCACATCCGCGATTCTATTCCTTGCCGACACTGATTCATTTAAGGAGTGTATTCAAAAATACACTCCTTTTTGTTCTGGGAGCCTTGGCTTCCATGTCACTCACACTTCTTGGCCTCACCTCGCTCATCTGTCCAATGGAGGCTTGAGCCATTATTGCTAAGGCCCCTTCCTGGTCTAACATTCTGTGTATGGTCTAGGATTTAGAACATGGTATGAGATGCTACAATGGAAGCATAAAATTACCTCAGTCTTCATTTCGGATCTGAACATTAATAGTGATCCAGATTTTTCATTTTTTTTTTAACAAAACAAAGTGTGCTTGGAGTCATTCCTCTACATGCGCTGTGGCTGCCAGCTCAGGTTTTTCAGTTTCACATCAAAACTGTGGGTATAATTTAAACTATTGAAACCAATCACATTAAAATGTTTAGCTGGGCACAGTGGTGTACATCTGTAGTCCCAGCTACTGGGGAGGCTGAGGCAGGAGGATCGCTTGAGCATAGGAGTTGGAATCCAGTCTGAGCAACAGAGCAAAACCCCGTCTATAAAATACAAATATTTGTGTAGTTTTTGATTAAAATTGACCATGGAGGTCAGTATAAAATATGTCGCATTTAAGGAACTGCTGTTTATGTATCTAACAGATGAAGTTTTTTGCATTGGTAAGAGCATTTATATATACTTTGTTTCAGGGTTTATGGATTTGTATTCACATATTGTCAAATAGGTTTCATACTCTAATTTTACTTTAAGTAAAGCTTAAACACTTGGCATACAACTGAGATTGCTTTTAGTTTCTTGGTTTTTTAATTCTAACCATGCATCTGTTTACTCGCTGCAAAGTTACTTGGTTTCCCAATCCTGATTACAGTTTCCCTTTTTATCAAATTTACCTGAGAAATTAACATTTTGCCCTTTGCTGTGGTTGCTAAAACTGCTAACCACTGAGAAATTTCTCTAAACGCCATCTTACTTAAATATAACCGATTTCTTCGGATTTTATTGTTTAAAATTACTTTTACTTCCCATAACTTGAGTAATACTGAAAATATTCTCTGAACCCTCTCCAATTTCTCTACATGCCTTCTCAAATGAGAATGCCAAAATGAGGCAAGTGTTTGGTGAGTCTGAGAAGAATCTCCTACCCATGTGTAAGAGATTCTTCTTCTTTTTCTTAGTCTTTATGGGAAAAGCAACAGTCTTTTCTTTTTTTTCTTTTTTGTGAAACAGTCTCACCCTGTCACCACGCTGGAGTGCAGTGGCGCGATCTCAGCTCACTGCAACCTCTGCCCCGCAGGTTCAAGCTATTCTCCTGCCTCAGCCTCCTGAGTAGCTGGGACTACCGGTGGGTACCACCACAACCAGCTAATTTTTGTATTTTTAATAGAGACAGGGTTTCACTGTGTTGGCCAGGATGGTCTCAATCTTCCAACCTCGTGATCCGCCCACCTTGGCCTCCCAAAGTGCTGGGATTACAGGGATGAGCCACCGTGCCTGGCCAGCATCCCTCTTTTCTTAAAGCATCACTTTTTAATCTCAAAGATGGCTCTAATTTTTTTAGCTCCTCATAAGACATTGTAAAAAGTGTTTCATTACATACCTGTAGTCAGTAAGATTCTAGACATTCTATAGACTAGCTAGGGATTGCCTATTTCCTTCCTTACTGTTCTTTTGTTAAAATTCCAGATCTCAGTCCTATCTCCACTGTGCATCCCTCTTATTGCCCCTAATACCAACCATGTTTTTGAACTCTTCAGAGGTTAGCTGCCCGCCACAGTGCATGGGCTATGCCATGGCCTCAGGCCTAGCTACCCTGTCAGGGTGTGTTCAGTTCCTGGTTGCCCTAAAGATTGTGCAGGCCTCAGCATCATTCACTGTCCCTGTGGGGAGTGGTACTGTTAATACCACAAGGGGCAAATCTATACCCACCCCCATGCTTTCCCCTGACATCTCCGTCTAGAGGAGGCACATTTACCTCCCACATGGACACCTCCTCCACAATCCCCACCCGCCAGTGGAGTCCCACCCACTGCCATCAGTCCTGCCTCCTGATATCTCTGCCTTCCACGCCTTCCTCTTTATCCTCTGTAATCTCACTGGCTTAGCTCAGGGGAAAATCATGGTGAATTTCTCAAATATTGTGGAGAAAACCATGCCTCCTTCTAAGCTGTTTTTTGAGGTTTCTGACACTATTAAAGGCAATGCTAAGGTGCAGAGAAGGTTGGCATTGCTTATATTTGTAATTCTGCTCCCAACAAGCTCCAGGTTTTTTACCTGGACAATATAAGAGCAAATACCATGCTGATTACCCAGTTCGATACACTGGGCTTTGAACAAAAGGGAAAAATACATCAGGAACTGTGAGTCCTCATTCTGTCTCCTGCTCATTAGCTGTGACTCAGGCAAGCGACTAGATGCCTCTGGATCAGCCTCCTCTCCTCTAGAACAAGATCTTTTCTACACGGTTCTAATCTTTTGCGACATCAGGATTTGCAGAGTGACCAATGGCAGTCCAAGAAGGCGGAGGTGCCGTGTCTGCTTAAGCTTCCAAGCCACATGGCAGTGCTTTGGCCAACAAATCAAAGCACATTACTGTGGTCCGCTTTCAACAAGGAAAAATGACTAGAGACTAGAGCTTTTATGAAACGAAACAACTGCTTATCTCAGGTTCAGAGACCCTTGATTCCAAAGACCAAAATAGAATTAACAAATGCAATCATTATTTCCAAACTTTAGACTATACACCTCAAAGTCTTACCGGGTCTTTCATCTGTCATCTGATACACAGTAAAAGCTCTCTTGGTCTAAAGGACATGGCTGAGGAGAACAGCCTGTATCTCCACTGTCCCTGGCACCATCCAGGCAGATGCTTGCAGTCCACATGTAGTCTGAGGTAAAGAGCGTTTCCTTCATCATGCCAGCAAGGTCACATCCTAATCTCACTCGGTTCTTGTCTTTCTCCCAATGCCAGCCTGCCCAATACTATTTAATTCCATGCTCTTCAGAAAAGTATACAAATGGCTGGCAGGCCCACTTCCACCTTCACTGGGAATCCAGTCCTCATGCACCCAGGTTCCCTAATCTGGGCCTATTTCCAGCTCCAAATACAGTGGTGATGCCCAAGTCTGTTCTTCTAGCCCTAACTTGTTCCCAAGCTTCGGACCAGTCACTGGGTATTTCCAGTCACCTCCCAACATCTGCTAGGGTCCCAGAGGGGCCGTGGCCTTCAACCCATCCCTGCACACTTTCTCTGGTATCTCCCATCTAGAGCAGTCACAGGGGGACCCACCCAGAAACCCACTCCATGTCCTACTCCTCTTAGTCAAGTCTCTAAGTTCTGTCAGTGCTGTCTCCTTTTCCTCTTCAGTCCCAACAGCTTGGCTCAGGGGGTCCTGCTCACCTTGGGCTTGGATGTTACCGAAACCTCCCTCCAGAACCATCTCCCTTTGCCAGGCTCAAGTATTCCCCTGGGCTATGATGGAAATGACATCTCCTGGAGTTCTGCAGCACGCAACCCACACATCCACTCCCAGCAGCCTGGGATGGTTCTAGAAACCCTGGCCTGATGAATGCCTTGCTTTGCCCGGCAGGTCCTTCCTCACTCTAGGCACTGGGCTACTGCAGGACCAGCCTGACACTTACCACGGGTGGGCACCAGGTTACACCTGGGCTATGTGTAGAAAATAAGAATGCAGCCAGAGGACAACACTCACACCAAAGAGAAGGTGGCCACACAAAACAGGGACTTCTGATAGCTCCCGGCCTCCTGCTGCAGGAATTGAACTCCCTGACTCTGTCATCCCTCAAAACAAGGAGGGCAAAAAAGGACTAAGAGTAGATATTTTAAAAGATTTTATAGAGATGGTTTCTTTGCACAGAGCTACACTGGTCCCACTCCTCCTGGGCTAGCGGGGTATAACATTCAAAAGCTTGAAATGGGGTCCTCAGTCCTGGGAACTCCATGGGCTGGTGTCTGACCCACCCACCAAATCTAATAGAAGGGCACTGGGGCTGACTGGTATATCCTGCGTTTGACAGGGCAGGGGGTGCCAAAGTCTTTCCCTTGGCCCAGACCCTGGCTACACAGATCAACAGGCCTGTCTTAAGGTCATCTTAAGGCCTATCCCACAGGGCCACCTAGCAGGGTGCACAGGGCCCAGGAGAAAGAAGCTGGAGCTATCACTGGCTTCCTAAGAGCTGCAAAGGAGGAAGTGGTGGTCGGAGGCAACAGCATTAGCACATCCCAGGAGCTGCCTTGGTCAAGGCACCTGGGAAGACCCTGAGCCAGGGACAAGAGGTGGAAAGACAGAGGGGGCCTCAAAGATTCCTGAAAGTACCCCGTGAGAGAGTAAGAATGAAACCCTGGCTGAGTCCAAGAAGTGTACCGGCTTAGGACAATTCCTATGGAGGGTTGAGATCTCTGTGCCCTCCCTACCTTAGCTCCCTCCTCCTGTTCTAACTCTGTAGGGCCAGACAAGGCAGTGAGCAACTGTCACAGCTTTTACTCTCACACAGATGCGGCATTCCAATTTCTGAGTTAGGAAAGCATTTGGTGACATAAGAGGACTATAAAAGGTCTATCACCCCAGAACACTCAAAAAGGTGATGGGCCGTCCTGAGTTGTTCACCAGTGGTAGGAGAAGGCCTCTGGTTGAATGCATCTTAAACAGCGAAAGACAAAAATAGTTGTTTTGTGATTCCATCCCTGGAGTTATGCCAGTTCTGCTCACCAGTGACAAATGCACAAAAGCTCTGTGAATGGTAGGGAGGGCTAGAGAGGGGAGGGCTGGGGAGGGTGGGCACAGGTGGAGGTACAGATGGGGGGGTGGGCACAGGGGGAAGTGCAGATGGGGAGGCTGGGCACAGGGGATGTGGATGGGGAGGACTATAGACGGTGGGCATAGGGTAGGGGTTAGGATGGGGAGGGCTGTGCCTCAGCTGGCTACCCCTACATCCCCAAGCTTGGAACCATACCTGGCCCCAGAGCTGGCACTATTTGGTGAATGGATGCAGGCACGACAGCCCTCCCTCCCATGACCTTTTGGTCTTCAGTGCTCTCTTCTTGTCCCTGAAGAAGGCCAAGCCCTTTATGAACTAAGAAACTCTGCGTGAGTTATTTTTACCTGCAACCAAAGGGCCCGACATGGAATTCCTAACACCCCTTGGTCTGCCTTCCCTTCCTGCTGCTCCCACCCTACATCTATCTCTCTTCTGTGAAATTGAGAGAGAAAACTCAAAAGTGGCTGCAAAAGACATGAACAGATGGCTCCCAGGAAAGGACCTGAAAATGATTTACATAAATGAAAACATGCTCAGCCTTTCGCAAGTAAAAAAAAAAAAAAAGCAAATCAGACTTCCAATAACCAGCTCAGAAAAGATCAAAATGTTTGATAAAGCCAGTACTGGAAGGGCCTAAGGAAACATACTTGTACTCTCCAATGGGACAGTACATCAATGGTACTGAGGGAATGTAGTCTCTTCCCAGGTCCACAAGGGGGCCTAATTTCAAAGGCAAGAACTTCCCGGCGCCATGCCTCTCGCCCCACCGTCTCCATCCCGAGGTTAGAGGTCTTCGTTAAAACTTTGGCACTCGCATGTCGGAAAGAATCAAAGAAATCAATTACTCCAGCAGAAGTTTAAAGGAACTCTTCACAGGCCCAGAAAACCTGAAGGGGGCGGGAATTCCTCCCAGGTTAATGTCCCTGTCCCCAACATCCAGGCAGACTCCATGTCTGGATCCCCTTCCATAATATTGTGGAAGCTTCTCTCTCTCATTTTTTCTCTCTCCTTTTTCTTTTTCTCTGCCTAAATAAATCACTTTCTGCAAAATTCTTTGGAGTCCCATATTTACTTAATTGCTCACCATGTCCGGCATGGTCCCCTCTCCCATTCTTGGGTGACAGAGACCAAGAGCCTGGAAGTACACCACCCACCGGGGAGCGAGCTGAGCCTCCCCTGGGTCCCAGTATCAGTACCACTTAAGAGGACAACTTGGTAAGACATTTCAAGCACACACTCAACTAGGGAGAGATTAATGTCAGAGGCAAAGAACATGAACAGGCAACCAAGCCCAGACAAAAGGCAAGGGCAGGAGTGGGGAGGTGGGGCAGAAAATTCAGAGGAGCTGCAGAAAGATCATGTCCAGAAGGTTTCAGGCAAAACCAAAGTGGTAAATAGGAGCATATTGTATAAACAATAATGCAGCTGGTGTTCTTTATTTAATGGTTGTAAAGGGCTTCCATAAGACCCACAACCTGCATCCCTGTTTTTCTCTCCACTTCCTTGAGTGGGAAAAAGAGGTAGAAAAGGAAATTCAAGAAACACCATCCACAGAGTTAAGCAGAGCACCATAACTCAGACAGGTAGAGGGAGTAAGTACATTTCCGACACTGAAAAAGTGTATCAATACAAGTGAGTGGGCCAGTGGAGGAGAAAAGTGGTATGTTGTTCACCATGGGAAGGTCTTTCTGCTGCACATGACCAATGTAGCACTGCTCTCTAATGGATGCCCAGTACCTACCCAGTGGTTCTTCGGAAGCCCAGATCCATTTTGCAAGACTCCCAGACTCAGCAGTTATTTGACAAACAGGAAGGCAGATCTCTGCTGACTCAAACTTCATTCTCTATCCCCAAGATGACTCTGAAAGTCTAGTCTTCCCTCATCTTCAGATGATTAACTTCTTTCAATGACAGCCTGATTCATAAGCAGTTTGTTGAAGTTCTTGCTATCATATTGCTGGGTACATTTCCAGCAGTGTAAATGGTTCATAAAGAAATGTCCTGCACACAGCAGACCTCTTCGCAGCAAACACACAGCAACACTGGGTCAGAATTGGGGCTGCAGCCCTGCTTTGCAGGTCTGGGGGATCTTCCCCCATAAGTGCTAGCACCTCACTGAATCCACACCACCACCAGGACAGACTATGTGTGGTAAAGATGAAGAAACAGAATTTAGGGAGGTTCAGGAAGTGCCTAAGCTCACCCTTTTAGTGGGCAGTGGAAATGCTGCTGAATCCAGACCCAAGCTGGTAACTATGCACCTAATTTGGTTGGTAAGGTTAGGGGCACTTAGTGTGGGCTAAGCACTGTGCTAACTGCTTCATCTCATCTAACTCTCAGCACTGCCCAATACTGCCTCCCCAAACTCCTGATTCCCCTGCTTACAATGGGCAGGGGCCGAGAATCAGCCATGTGGACATCATAGGTCTGCCTTGCCGGTGCCAGACAGTTAAAGCCCACTGCAATACCACAATCTGCCAAAGTCCTCAAAGGCAAGCATTTGACCACAGCAACACAGCCAGGCTTCTGAGTTGTATTTTGTAAGTTTATTTTTAGTTATTTATTTTTACAGTCCTCAGCAGCAGGGTTTGCTAAAGTGAATCAACAGCAAAGCCCCCAAGTCGGTTCAGCTTCTGACAGTGAAGACAAGAAACTCAACAAGTAGCAGAGGAAACTCTGCCCCAGGAGCCAGGCATCCGACCGCATTTGCAGGTGGGAACCAAGGACCCAAACTGCCCAGAGCCCCAGGGGCATGTTTCAATTTCAGAGCAGGCGAAATTTCTGACACATGCTAAACATCTTACGGTGTAAACAGAGGAGATGCTGCTAAACAAGCCAAGATGAACACTGCCAGGTTCACATAGTGTGCTGCTCCGCTGGTCTCCATTCACAATGGCTTATGCACAGAAGAAAAACACCATCACCACTGGCAGAAGTTCTAAAATTGGGTTGTTATCCTCTCCGAATTCATAATACAAAAAGTTAGAAGTTGCTAAAATGCAAGCAACAATACCAACATATTTTTATAAAAACAACGGAAATGAGAAAGCTTATTAAATACATTCATTTTGACTTTGTTCCCTTATCAAAATATTCAGAAGTAACCAATGTTGCTGTGGATTGCTACGATTCTTATAAGGGGTACGTTTTAGCACCATTTATGTGAAAACAGTCAAGGCATTTTTCAATATGTAAATGAAAGCTCCTGAAATTAAGTATAAAATATGATTTTGAAGTTCAGAATTAGGCTCAAGCATTTCTGCTTACTAGAACTGCCAAGTCCACTGTCAAGACTGCGGACATTTTAAGCCCTGTGTCCCTCCCTTGTACTGATCCATGTTTCAGCAGTTTCATTTCTGACCCAAACTTATACCAAACAAATCAATGAGATTAATTGAGAAAACACAGCATCCTCCTCCATTAATGCCACTGAATGCTATTAAAAAACATTCAGAATGCTTAAACAAACTGGTGGCCATGAGGTCTACGACCAGACATACATCATAAATGATGTATTAATATAACATTTCAATACAATTAATATATATGTGTTTCTAGATTTAATAACCACTCTATATATTTCCATTATACATACTAAAACCCATTCCACCATTCCCGGTAATAGATTTCAATATACCCTGAAAAAATACAATACATGGGGTCAGGCACGGTGGCTCATGCCTGTAATCTCAGCACTTTGGGAGGCCAAAGCAGGCGGATCACCTGAGGCCAGGAACTCGAGACTAGCCTGGCTAACATGGTGAAACCCTGTCTCTACTAAAAATATAAAAATTAGCTGAGAGTGGTAGTGCATACCTGTAATCCCAGCGATTCAGAAGGCTGAGGCAAGAGAACTACGTGAACCAGGAGGCAAAATTTGCAGTGAGCTGAGATTGCACCACTGCACTCCAGCCTGGGTGACAGAGCAAGACCCTTTTTCAAAAAATACATAATACAATACATGGGGCACTTCGCCTCCACCCTCCCAGAATACTGCTGGGTTCCAAGCTGTGAGGGCACATGCACATAAAGAAAGGTGTGCTGTGACTGCAGACTAACACACATGCACACACATGCACGCGCGCACACACACACACACACACAACCCTCCTGGTCATGGGCAAGCGCGACTCACCCCTATTGCTGGTGACTTACAGGAAAAGCTAGAGGTGGTAGGCTGTCAAACCAATTTAGTTTTGCTCCTTTTCATGGCTTCAAGTTATAAACTGAATTACAAAAACATTAATAATCAGCTGCCAGTCTTTCCTCACACATTCACTAAACCACTGTTCTGTTCAACGTGGCACTGGCTCCCTGGTCTTTCCATCCTCTTAGATAATGTCACAAATGAGATTTCCCAAGACAGTTAAACATTAAAGAATATACTTCTGTTAAATAAGGAACTTAAATTTTAGAAATAGGAATTTGTAAAACATATACAGGTAAGGCCTTCCATTCATTCAGATTCTTATTCTTCTATAATTTAAGCACAGGAGGTCTGTCTAGCATCTGTGGTTTTGTTCTTGAATGGCATTTTAACATTTATTCTAGAATTAGTTCCATCTTCTTCAGTTCACTTCTTACAGGTCCTTGGACTATTTTTAAATTACTTGGTAGTGTGTCTTGCCTTTGCCAAACTATTTGGTAATTCTATGTATTTCACATATATTTCACATTCACTTCGCACACACTGAGGGCTTTCTTTTTAAGTACTCACAGATCTTATAGAAAGGCATTTCTTTTTTCTGCATGTCTACAAATAAGATTCCGCAATGGTTTATGCTTCTGACTTTTAAAGGGGAGTACCTACCAAGTACTACTTAAGAAAAAGAGATAAGAAAATGATCCAACTGTACTTTCGTATCCAAAAAAGACACAACCAAGAAGTCTATGTAAGTCCTACGTAAACACCGAGATGGTAGGAGTGTTATATCATTAAAGGTGATACAGCACTTCACAGCCTCTCACTTGAAGATCTTCAGAAAGTAGACTAATCCTTAAGTAAAATAGCACATTGCGGGGAGAGGGAGGACATGATGAATAACAACATAGGATGAATAGCAACAACAAAGACCAAGTACATAAAAACTCACAAATGCTTTTCCCAACAGAGGTGTTACCAATTCATGTGGCTTAAGATTTTACCTGATAAGCTCCAAAAGTGGTGGGGAAAAAAAAAGATACCAAGGCAATGTCTGTTCCCCTTAAACAAAGAAAATCTTATCAGACACTAACTGAATATAAAATCGAGTAAGAAAAAGTGCAAATGGCTATATAAAGAAAAAAGGATTCATCCTGTTCCATGCATTGAAAACATTTTCATATACTCGGTATTCTAAGGAAGAGGAACTGCAAACACTTTCGATCAAATCCAGGCCTGAATCATCAGTTAGAGACCATGTATTACTGGCTTCTTGTTCTCCAATGTAACCGTCATTGTTCCTTGTGGATGAGCAACAGATGTATATGCACAAGGAGCTCAGGATGTAAGGAGGGGAATCTGAAAATGTTCTAGAAAAGCAATTTAATTCCATGAAGCATAATACAGGGAAATTATTTTATGTTTAAATTCACCTTAAATGAGCTCACAGGTGTAAAAGTCATGCCTCCTTAAGATGGAGATAACTTTTCTGCCAATACATAGGGTCCACAACTCCTAAACTCTTGCAAGAAACTCTGGGATAGAAAGTTAAGCATAGTATAGTTCCTACTACATTCCTTTATTCTAGAACACTTTATCATTTTGAAGATTACTCTAAGTGGAACATCCTACTGAATTCATTTGATCTCCATTTAACTTCTAACCTGCTGATGTCATCTGACCAGCTCAATACCAAGAATGAGAAATGGAACTAAGATTCCGGGCAACTGAAGTTGCATATTGCAATAAAAAATTTTTATTTTTAAAGTTGATCAATCATTTCTATTCCCTGAAGTACTATTTCTTTGATAGCTTTCCTTCTCTGACGCCATGATCCCACTAAACCTAAACAAGAGTTTCACAGATTCTGACAAGGGCGTCAGACAGAAAGCAACATAAAAGAAACACATCCTTTTGCCCAGAAATCCAACTGAAGTTCACTAAATTGAGAACATTTTCAAAATGCAAGGATAGGTGACTATTATTAACATGAGTATTATTAAAATTCAATGACATATATGAACTAATGGTCAGATTTAATGTACCTGAAGGGCACAGATCCCTGCTGCTATGTATATATGATATAAATGTTTCCAGTTGTGCCTTAAAAAATATCAGAAATGAATGGTAAGCATTTTCTGTTGTGCAATCCCATATACTACAATGAAAAATCAAAGCCAATAAGAAGTCATTATTACTTTAATTTGGCTTCTAGGTACCTTCTTATTCAAGGCACAGTTGCATTTCACAGTGAAAAACACAAAGCCTCTCCAATGTATTCATATACATTCAGAGCAGAATTTGATTTCAACACTCTAATCAATAAACATTTAGCAAAATGTGGTGAATATTACTGATGAGGTAATGGGAGAATGCTAAAGTAACAGTCTGAATAGTTTTGTGCATCCTGAGTTTTCTTAACTAAAGAAACTGAATTACAAAATTCAGTTTCTTTAATTAAAAACAAAATTTACATTTTCAAAAAAGGTTTGCCTCAAAAAGAATTGCTTCTAAACTATATTAAATTGGACCAAATAAAGATTTTAATTATTGGCCGGGCGCAGTGGCTCAAGCCTGTAATCCCAGCACTTTGGGAGGCCGAGGCGGGTGGATCACGAGGTCAAGAGATCGAGACCATCCTGGTCAACATGGTGAAACCCCATCTCTACTAAAAATACAAAAAATTAGCTGGGCATGGTGGCACGTGCCTGTAATCCCAGCTACTCAGGAGGCTGAGGCAGGAGAATTGCCTGAACTCAGTAGGCGGAGGTTGCAGTGAGCCGAGATCGCGCCATTGCACCCCAGCCTGGGTAACAAGAGTGAAACTCCGTCTCAAAAAAAAAAAAAAGATTTTAATTATTATAAAACAAAGCTCAGTACTTCAGGGAAACACCACCTCCACAAATGTTGAGCCAATTCAGGGGCTGCCAGTAGAATCCTATTGTCTCTGGTTCATGTGAACACTATCTGCAGTCCACACCCCCTGAGGCCAATTCAGGCCATAAGGCAGACCATGCTCAGCAGAGTTGCCCCTTCACCACCCCAGTCACCACCCTTAGCCTGACTGGGAAGATGATGGTTCACAGAGAGGAAGGCTGCCTCCCTCAGGCTTCCCAAAACCAATCAAGGGCATAGGCGGCTCAGCCACACTTTTGCACTCATATTTCTACATGCTTCTGCTTAAATGTACTCGTGGAAAATCTTAGATGGTTTGCTGTCACTCATCCCCTGCCCCAGATGGGTTACACAGATCTGGCAATGGACACACCCTCCAACACAGCATGAAAAGAGCACAGGAAAACCTGGGTCCAGCTCAGCCCTACCTCAAAGTAATTTGGCCTTGGTTTCCTCCTTTGAAAACAAGTGGATAGAAACTGTCTGGCTATAAAATCATGAATCTATGGAAGTGAAGAATAATTAAAGTTTCCAACACTAAAGCACACAGGCAAGTAGTGTCTGTCCACACTGATGGGGCACCACCTGCACCAAGCCCCGGACTCCAGTGCACTGGAGGCATCAGACACCTGTCACAATCACAAGGAGGAAGAAGTTCTAGGTTCCCTCACCACTCCCTCCTATGGCTCCTCCAGTCTTCAAAAATGCCTTGAAATAACCCACTTTTGGACCCAATTCTTAATCTGCTGCAAGACAATCTTCTTAAAATAGCCTTAATTAAGATGTAAGTCTAAACCATTGCTCTTCCCTCCATAAGAAGATGAGATTACCAGAGGTTGTCATGACTATGCCAGTAACAGATCCATCTCAGAATTATGCCACTTAAAGCAGACTGTTAGAGGCCCCCTTAGTGCAGTGGGCAGCACATCCATCTCATGATCTGAAGGTCCTGAGTTAAAGCAGACTGTATAGGGAGAGCTACAGAAAACATTACTACTAGAGAGGGGAAAAATACTGTCTTAAAAAAATTAGAAGCCAGTGTACCATTATAGAGAGTTTTGATTTGAAATATAAAGAACATATTCCTCTCCAAAACTTAGTTTCCTCTGATACAAAAGTATTTGCCTTCTGGAAAAGATATAGTTTGCACTGTCCAACAGGTGTGCTCTGAAGGCCCCCACTGAAATATATTGCATCATAGATGAGGGGAAAGACTTATTAATTTCTCTTATCAAAAGCTAATCATCTTCAGGACATCCTGTCCAACTTGGTTCCCAGGGGCCCAAGGGTTCTCAGAGATTGTTCTTAGAGACCTCTCAGGCCGGCAGCCCAAGCCCAGGAGCCACCTATGCATCTTAGCCACATCACCAGGCTGTCAGGAGCATGCGTCTCTCACAGACTGGTCTCCTCACACACTCTGACAGGGATGTTATAGTGGCGATCGTCCTCAGCAATGAGCGTTACCACTGGCCAGTCCTTGGGTGGGTCGGTAGGGTAGACTGTGATGAACTCCTCCGTGTTGTACTTGGAGAGCCGGTACACCTGGATTGTGTGGCGCACAGCATAGGCAAGAAGGAACATTTCAACCTGGGAAGAAAACAGCAAACGGGTATTCTGAGGAAGATCACACTGAAAGATGTGGCTTAACGCCATGTTCCATCCATTATCCCACAACGCACAGCAAAGGTGAAGCCACAGCCTTTCTTTCCTCCCCCTATGGGCCCAGCCCCAATCCTTTTCTATTTAAAAGAAAAGGGAAGATAACCAAGAATGAATCATATGTCTGTTAAGGGACCTGTACCCAGGATAAAGAACTCTCACAACAATTAACAAAACAAAAAAACAAATAACCAGCTTAAAAATTAAGCAAAAGATCTGAACAGACACCTCTCTCCAAAGAAGATATACAACTGACCAACAAAGCACATGACAAGATGCTCAACACTGTAGGTCATTACAGAAATGCAAATCCAAACTACAACGAAAGACAGTACTTCACACCCACTAGAATGATTATAACCAAAAAGATGATAATGGGGAGTGACTGCTTTATGAATACAGGATTTTCTTTGGGGATGACATGTTTTAGGACTTCATATAGGAGGTGGTCACTGTCAGTGTACTAAATGTCAATGAGACGTATACTTTAAAATGGTTAATTTTATGTTATGTGAACTTCACCCCAATTTAAAAAAAAAAAAAAAAAACGGAAGTGTTGGTGAAGATATGGTAAACGGGACACTGCTACATTGCTGGTGGGGATGTAAAATAGTGCAGCTGCTTTGCAAACAGTTTGGTAGTTCCTCAAAATGTTAAAGAATTATCAAATGACCCAGCAATTCCACTCCTAGGTGTATACCCAAGAGAACTGAAAATATATGTTCACATAAAAAAAATTATACATGTATGTTCATAGCAGGGTTATTAGGGTTATTCACAGAACTAAAAAGTAGAAACAATCCAAATACCCATCAAACTGATGAACAGATGAGTAAAATGTGATCCATCCATACAATAGGATATTACTTATCAATAAAAAGGAATGAAGTACTAATACATGGCGCAATATGGATAAATCTTAACAAACAGTATGCTAAACCAAATAAGCCATAAACAAAAGACCACATATGTTATTATTCCATTCATATGAAATGTCCAGAATAGGCAACTCCATTGAGACAGAAATTAGATTAGCAGCTGCCTAGGGTTAGAGTAAAAAGAAAGTGATTACTAATGGGTATGGGGTTTCTTTCTGGGGTGACAAAATGGTCTAAAATTAGACTGTAATGATGGTTGCAAAACTTTTTAAAAGAGTAAACTTTATGGTATATGTAATTATATTTCAAAAAAGAAATGGAAAATTTCTTTTTTTTTTTTTTTTTGTGACGGAGTTTCGCTCTTGTTACCCAGGCTGGAGTGCAATGGCGCGATCTCGGCTCACCGCAACCTCCACCTCCCGGGTTCAGGCAATTCTCCTGCCTCAGCCTCCTGAGTAGCTGGGATTACAGGCACGTGCCACCATGCCCAGCTAATTTTTTGTATTTTTAGTAGAGATGGGGTTTCACCATGTTGACCAGGATGGTCTCGATCTCTTGACCTCGTGATCCACCCGCCTCGGCCTCCCAAAGTGCTGGGATTACAGGCTTGAGCCACCGCGCCTGGCCCGGAAAATTTCTTATTAAAAAACAAAAAAGAATGTACTTACCATCACAGCGGACCTTACAGGGTCTCAGAAAAGACTAACTTTAATCTAATATACAAACCATCCCCTACAAGCATTTTTATTGCATGGTACTTGCTATGTTTTGAGATGAAAGTACCACATTATGACTACAGATAATTTTCAAAATAACCATCATCAGCCCTGCCTGACCCAGCAGTGACCATTAGTCTCCACTCCTTCCTACACACCTAGGAATAACAGAAAAGACTTCACACTCCAGGACAGCTCAGAATGGAACCTAACTCAGCTCTCTAATCCTTGCAGTATCTGTCCTGGCACTTGGGCCTTTTTAGAAAAAAGCAGGCACAAGAGTCAATTATGCAAGTAAGAGGGTGGCACTTTGATGAACAGCTTAATGCTACTTTAGTGGTTGGCTATTCCACTAAAAAAAAAAGCCTCATTAAGACTTTTTAGGGAAATGAACACATCAAAGATAGCTCAGATAGCACGAGGTGTGGTGACTCAACTATATTGGCTTTAGAGACAGTACTGCACTCAGTTTCTGTGTAAAACTCCACATTTAACATATCTGTAAAAGATCCAAGAGCAGGCTGGACTCTACTAGCTAAGGTGACTCCATTTCTTTTTAATGCAGCTACAGCTGCCAAGATTCAACAACACCCTTCAAACGGCTCTTCCAAGAACATCGTTTATTTGTAGCCTCCCAGAGCCAAGAGTACTAATCCCATCCACCACTCTGAAGAATAAGGCCCAGGTCGAGATAACAGTGGTGACTAAAAAGTACATTCCACAATTCTTTGGTACTCCTCACTCGAAACAGTGGAGCCAAATTTCCCTCCTCTTGAGAGTGGAATGCATTAAGTAACATGTTTCTAAAAAGAAGAATACAGTGTAGCAGTGTGTGGCTTCCTGGAATAGGGCATAAAAGGCATTGTGGCTTCTTTCTTGCTCTCTGCTTAGATCACCCTGAGAAGCCGGCTGCCATGCTGTAAGGACACTCAAGCAGCCCCCTGGAGGCCTATGTGTGAGGAACTGAACCCTCCTACTAAGTACCAGTAAGGAACTGAAGCGTCCTGCCCACAGCCACATGAATAAACAACACTGGAAGAAGATCCTCCAGCCCCAGTCAAGCCTTCAGATGACTGCAGCACCAAACATACAACTGCAACCTCATGAGATCCTGAGCCAGAACCATCCCTGAATTTCTGACCTATAAAAACTGTGACATCAAGTTTGATCAGTAAAGCTGCTATATTTTGGGGTAGTACATGCTCAAAAGCACAACTCACCTGTTCAAGACCACCAGTGTGTCCCACCTGGTTTAGGTGGTTCCTCAGCAGCTGTCCTGGGTCATTCGATGTGTCCCGAGCAAACAGAAGCACAGAGAAAAATGGTACTTCCTTTCCTTTCTCTTTATCATTATATAGTTCAATGGCTCTGTTTAGCATTAGAAATTTTACAGCTTCATAGAGGCTATATTCCTCCTCTTCATTTGTGAATAGTTCATCACAAGCTATTTGTCTTGCTTCAGCAGTTCTCATTTCAGCCAAGCCTGCCCACTACAATAAGAAAGTTATGTAATAATTACAATTTTTTGTTCTAAAAATCCCTGGTATAGTATCATACTATAAATTGAGAACAAAATTATTTTAAAAGGCAACCATGGTCATTTACCAATGCTTACAACATTCAGGTTTTCAGATTTAAAACGGTACACTTTATACCACACAAACTCCTTATTCAGCTTTTCCTCCCATTAATTTGAAAGAAAAATACAATGCAGGAAGAAGCACTAAGGCCATGGAAATTTTGACTCCCTTAACTTCGCAGGCAATGAGACTGAACCAGCCTTCAGAGATACTTATGGAAGAGCTAACATACATGTGTGAGGCCTGTGTGTAAAGCTGTGAGGGGCAGCTACAATTACAAGGGGCTTACAGGAGAATTAACACCAGAAACACAAAGCCAACCCTCCAAAATGGAAGAGAGGTAGGGAAGAGTGTATGGGCTCCTGAATATTAATTTACTAAGCTTATCCCTCTAACTTCGAAAATACATATGAACTTCAAATGAATAAATCCATTCAGGAAACTCTTACTGATTCCTGATTAAGAATAAAGTAATGTGTTAGGTATTCAGTGAATATAGGCAAACTCTTTAAAAAAGAAAACCTATAAATGTATGTGCTTTTAAGTTACAGTGAATGAGAATAAGATGCCAACATAAATGCCATTCCCTATGAATAAACAATAACCAGTGCCCCTCTCAAATGCCATTATGGATTTTAAATCCAAGAGTGAATTTTAATGGTAATGACTGCATAGAATTCTCTGTAATATTTGGGCTGAAAGCTGGAACACATTTGTCTTTATCTCATATTTTCCAGACTAGACCAAGCTGGCAGTCACAAACATGGCTCTAGAGTCAGTCAGGATAGAATCAGGGCTTCACCACAGAGCAGCTGGTGGCTTTTGCAAGGCATTTAACTGAGCTCCTGGCCTTAGTTTCCTCATCTAAAAAACAGGGATGCACAGCAACACCACCTTCATAGTTGTGAGAATTAAACAACACGTGAAATTTTAGTGTGGAGCCTAGCACAGAAGTGTTAGTAATGCTGGCTCAGATTATTAATGGGTAATTTTAATCTTAGTATAAATTGGCATCACTCAAGCATTCCCAAATATGAGGGTCTAATTATAGTAGAAACACCTAATAAAGAAGAAATAGCAATTTCACAAGACCTTAAAAAAAATGAAAACAAAATGTGACCTGTGGTTGCGCTGAAGAACCCTCTCATCTCATTTACTCCCACAGGGCTAGAGCCCTGGCCTCAACCTTCCACTAACCCAAGGACTGGGGAACACAAAATTCTGCGTTCTAGTCCAACAGGTAACAAGAATGGAATTCCCCTCTTCCCTTCTCCTGCTCCCATTTCTTTATAGTAAAAGAAAGATAAAACTACTGGACTTCCTTTGACAGTTTATTTTCAGTAAACATTTCTTATCTTTGTAAGCAAAAACTAGGTTCCAAGAAGTCAGGGCCCTCAGTTCACTAATTCAGTAAAGCACTGAATGAACACCCTGTGCCAGGCCTGCTGCTAAGCACAGGGTGTCAAGGAATGCACAGGACAGTCTCTCATGGAGCTAAAAGTCCAATGGGAGCAGCAGACCATATGTGAGTAAAGAAATCACTGCCTGAAGTACCTGAAGTGCATGCTAGGAAGGACCTTGAAAGTCCATGTTTGACCCCCTCTCTACCTGATTGCTCTCCACTGACAGCCTGATGTAAGTGACAGGCTCTCAACTCAGGGTTCTTGGTGAGAAGGGCTCCAAGCTGCTCAATGCAAGCAAGCTAGGGGTCATGTAAGCCAGTATGCAGGCAGGACACCCCACCCAGAGGTGACAGTGGAAAGCCACAGAAAGGTAGAATTTTAAACACCGAATCAATAGGAATCAGCAGACCAAGTTCTCCCTACAATTCTGTTTCAGAAAGAAATCTCAGGACAGTTTTCTAAAGACAAGTTACTAAATCTACTAACTGGTAAATCATTGAGGAAGAAAATAAGTCTGATAAATATGGGTAGAATCTTAAAACATGAGCATAATAGGAAAGAATTCAATAAATGTGAATTACTATGACCGATATTAGTACAGCAAATAGGAACCGAACTATATTCTTGAAACGTAAATATGACTTGGAACAGAGACTATATTTGTTAAGATTTCCTTTTAAGAAAGTTAAATACTTCATTATTTGATACCCTAGCACCTGGCATCTGCTCTAAGAATATATAATGTTGGTACTTCCCATTTTACCAAAGCCCTCGTGGGAAGAGTTTGAGTTCATTTAAAACCATTTTGCCTAAAAATCAGCCACGAGCATTTGAAAATCCACTGAGTGAAGACCAAAATTGGTCTTCTGAGGCAAGCAGGAATGACAGCTTCACTCTAATCAGACAGGACACTACAGGTTCCAAACCTTCTTCCTCAGCAGAGTAAGGGACTCTTTAATTTTATCAACCAGGTCCTCGTTCTTCCCATCAAATTTCAGTCCAAGTTTCCATTGCCTGATCCAGTTGTATTTGCTTATAAGTTTTTCTGGTAACTAGAACACCAAGAAACAAAGAGATAAAGAGGTATTAACATTCCAAGAAATCCACCACATGCTCCAAGCTGTAAGAAACCACAAAGTCTATGAAACCTACCTTTGTTTCCAGAATTAATCCTGCAAATCTGTCATGTGGGTTTAGGATGGAGGACCTAAATCCACAAGTCAGGAACTTAGAAAGTACCACCCTGAGGAGGGCTGCTGGAGTGAAACGATGCTTTTGGTTGAGATGCCAAAGCACAGTCTGTCTTGCAGGACTCCAACCATGGCCAGGACATTCCACAGCAGTTGTACAGATGAGCTAAGGCCATGCCCACAGCACGTCCTCACACCAACCACCTTAAGGCTCAGGGCTCACTGCAGCCTCTCAACCACCACCTACACATGGCTCAGGACAGTGCTTCTGAGCATGTGAGAAGGTCCAGGGTGAAATCAAACCTGCTCCTTACCCAGTAAGAAAAATAAAATCTAGTTTCTGGTACTTCAAAAAATCTACCAAAAAAGAGGTAGAAAAAGACCTTTTTGTTAAATAATGTTAACACGTGTACTCAAAGTTCTACCATTCGGAGAAATTATGTCTAGTTTAACTGTCTAATTGATATATTGAGATAAAACACAACTGAAAATCAGAGGCAGGAGTTAAGGGAGCTGTGATCACTTAGTTCAGGAAAGAAATGACAGCTGAACTCCTACAATGTTGGTTTCCCTTTTTTTATTCCTGGAGTATTTGTTATTTTGTTTCCTCCTAGTTATCAGCAGAATCTGCATTTGAAAGGCAGGCTGAGACCCAATCTGACTGATGACAGCACAGGAAGTGAGACTCTTCCAACAGTCCTGGTGTGTCAGGAGAAAAATCATAGAATTGGTCTGGGCATAGGTGTATCACTTTGCTGCTATAAAATTTACAGAGGAAAAAAAAATTCACCTCCAAGCCAACAGATCATTAAAGAAAAATTAAATCCTATAATTCCTATGAGGAAACTGACCTTGTTTAGCAGTTTTTAATACAGTTTTGCCAGTCCAGGCAACATAGCAAGACCCCCTATCTATAAAAAAAAATTTTTTTAATTCCCTGGGCACAGTGGCATGTGCCTGTATTCCCAGCTACTCAGGAGGCTGGAGCTGGAAGATCACTTGAGCCCAGGAGTGTGAGGTTACAGTTAGCTATGACTACACTATTGTACTTTAGCCTGAGCAACAGAGCAAGACTCCATTTCTTAAAAAAAGTAATTTAAAAAAATACTTTATATAGCAAGAAGGAAATGAATAAAAATAAATACATAAAATAAAATAAATACAGTTTTAAATGAGGCTGTATCTTCCGTTCTACTGAATGTAAGACTAAAAGACCCTTTCATGAATAGTAGTTCTGGTTGTACCTTCTCAACCTATAGCAATCATGTGAAACTAAGGTGGTTTCTACAAAACATAGAACCACAAATGGAATGTAAATTACTTTTCACTGTGACCACAGTGATGGCAAATTATATCACTCACTAAGGTGGGGGGGAGGACTTCTCCTCTTCATCTTATTAGAATAACAAATGACCACCCATCTAAGAGCTGCACCAGCCCACTCCGTGCCCACACTGCCCTGCATTTCAGCAACATGTGGCAGCTGCGGCAAAACCCTCAATTTAGTCTCTCAGATTTATCACAAGAACCTCACATGCCCTCAAGTGGCAACAAGCTAAAATTACAACTGGGCACAAAGAACTACAAATGAACAGAAAATACTAGCTACACAGATGTGAGGTGGGAAAGGAAGTGAAGGGAAGCCCAGAAGACTAGCTGAGTATCTGGAGACAGTATACAGTTATCTAAAAAGTGGTGCAGTACTCAACTGAATTACTCAGGAGACCCTGAAGACCCCACTACACAGAGAGAAACAACTGTTTCTTATTCCTTTCACACATTGGTCAAACAATTCAGGGTTGTATGCTTCCAGGAAATGCAGAAATCCTTAAGACAATTTTTAAAAACCAAGCATGAAAAAAAGAAGCCATCAGAAAGGAATGAAGTCAAATTTATTCAGAGGAAAAAAGTGAATACAACTTTAAATGCTTTCAAAGGTCACAGCACATGGAATACATGTGAATAGCCTTCATTTTCCACTAAGCACAAACTGGAAAACTGGACTTCCATTAGAATAAAGAAAAGTTAAGCAAGAAACCAGATTTAAATAAGAAATAGTGATTGGAAATATTCAAGAATAAAGTAGGTAATTAGCTTAGGTGTCATTTCGTTTGTGACTGAACTATAAGACGGCCTGTTTTCTCTAGTAAATGCCTGTAATTCTTGATACCACAACAGACAGCAAATAACAAAAATGTGTCATCCCCAAAACTAACTCACAAAAAAATCTGATATATAGTCTATCCCACTCTAAGCAAACACTGTCATAGTCTAACCAGTTGAGAGACATTATAAAATGTAGCAAACTTGGAAACCAAAGGACTCCTGCTCTAAAGGACGCCCCCTCTCAGGAACCAAAGTGTTGTCCCACATTTTTTAGCCAGGCTAAGCCATCTCCATAGTTGGAGTGAGGGTCAGATGATCTGGCTGCAGCCAAACACAGAGACTGGGATCTGGACAGAAATAGGAACAACAAACGGGAAGCCCAGGCAGGATGACAGGAGGTGAGGGGCAGCCAAACTGTCAGAGCGGCAATAAGGACAAAGCTCCGCCTCACAGGCAGGGAACAGAGCAAGGCCAGCAAAGCTAGGCACCAGCAGAAAGGAAGCCCGGGTCCCCTTCACTGAGCACAGATTAAGGGAAGAGTCACTCACTCCAGCTTTTCCAGTTACCTTTAATACCCTAAAACGAAATGATGTTCTAAAAGACAGAGAAGACAGCAAAATGCCACAGAGAACACCTCTCAATCTGCAAAAAGAAGCAGATAAAGCTAGCTAAAGTTTCCACCCTGATTTCCTTCAGTCACACTGCAAGAAACACTCACTTGCTCAACAAAGCCCTTGTCACAGTGGACCTTCCAAGGGAAGGGTGGGGCATGAGTGGCAAAGTGAGAACAGGAACGGAAAGGCATCCACAGGAGGACCTGCAGGACACCTGAGAGATTTGCACAACCAGACTAAGCTCATGGGTTCCTTTCTTCCTTCCTTCACTGGCCCCTCAGACACAAAAGCATGTGCTGAATTTGAATTTGTCATCCAATCATGTCTCAGACATGATACCACAAAATGAACTGGGTGAAGGAAGTTTTCAAACTATGTTAAATTGCTAAGGGCTGGAACAGCAAAACAAGGACAAGTCCTCTAGCTGCATGACAGCAAGGAAAGAACAAAGTAATTCTTCAGTTGACATTTAGACCCAAAGTTTAATAAACATAAATACCAAACCTACACGCAGGTACACTGTGTTTTCTCTCTTTGACAGAGGCCTCCTGGCATTCAATAAAAATTAAATAACAAAAACCAAACCACAGGGACCAAGTAATTAAATTATGCTCCCAGAAAAATGTAATAGCTGATACACATAGAAAAGAAACTGAAAATAACACTTAAGAATTTTTAAACTATTTTCACAGTACTCAAATTAAGTCGGAAAAACCACCTAAAAACCCTATCACTCACCCATGCAACATACTCTAACAGTGATAAGAGTTTGAATGCAATCTGCCCAGACTATTTTTAATATGGCAGATGTTATTCAAATACATCTTGCTAGAAAAAAAAAAAAAAAAAAAAAGGGCGGGGGGGACACTGTACTTTACTTTTTTTAAGCAATTTTATATGTTTAATTAATTACTTAGGACACTGTTTACACCAGATTCTCAGAAAGTATAAAAATGCAAGTTTAGTATCAAGTAAGTCCATAAATCTAAACAGTTCCTTAAAGGCAAAGCCTCAAAAGTAAAACTTTGCTAAAATTGAGGAGGATATTATGTCACAATCTAGAAATATAGATTTCTAGATTACAGTTGTCAGGCACAGCCTCCTGAGTACCTAAGGCTACAAGCACACACCACCACAGTCTAGAAATTGCGACATATTTAGCTACAGTTGTCAAGCACAGAAGTTAAAACAAAGCAAAGCAAAACAGTGAAATCATTGTTTGCTTCTCTAGCTGGGTCTTATATCCAATCATAGGAATGCTTTTGCCAACTGACAAACAATTCTGAAGTATTTTACTAATAAATGTCATCATTTACAAAAGAAAAAACAGCCTAGTATATCCATTTCTCTTGCCTCTATATGAAAGAAATAAGCTAATACTGAAAAATCTGTTTAAGATGGTATACATCTTTGCTTGGAAGAAAACATCTTTCCCAGATGTTGGTTTTGTTTTTTTTAATCGACTCCTCAACATTAAGGGATCTCCTTATGGTCTCCAGGCTGGCCTTGAACTCCTGACTCAAGTGATCCTCCCATCCCAACCTCCTGAGTAGCTAATACTACAGGTACCACCACACTTGGCTCCAGATGTCATTTTAACAGTTGATATAGGTGTGCCAATTTTATACTGGTTTATTAAATAATCGTGGAACAGATGGGCAGTATCCTCCAACCATCAGTCCTGGTTTTGCCCTTTGGAACATGTGATCTCTCATCTACCTAAAAGACCTCTAGCTTAGCCAATAATAAGTTCTTCTAAAAGTCTTCTTTATTCTAGGAAAATACCCCCCGCTCCTTCAACTGCTCCCAGAATGCAATGAACCATCCTGGCCACATTTCCATCTGTGGAGGATACAGGCACCAAGCTGGAGACGGGCTCTGACCAGCCCAGTCAAAGGTGGGGCTGTCACTCAATGTGGGGCTGTCATTGCCTAATTCTTAGAATCATTCCTTTTTGCTTAATATCAAAAAAATGAAAATAATAAAAATAAAATTTAGCTACGGCTTTGTGATCGTTGCTGGCCATCACACTTCATGCAGGATCACAGTGGGCTTGCAATCAATTAAAATCCTAACATCTTTTCCTTCTTTTCATAAATTGCTATAAGGCCAATCTCCCACAGCTAGCACTTCCAGGTTTTGGATTTTTTTAATTTAAGCATAAGACTTTCAATTTTCTTCCAGTTAATGTCATACTGTCATTTCTTTTTAATTTAAAAAATATTTCGTTGGTTAAAAAAAAAAAGCTAATGATCATCTGGGCCTTCTGCAAGTTGTAATCTTTTTGCTGGTGGAGGGTCTTGCTTTGATGTTAATGGCTGCAGACTGACCAGGGTAGTGACTGTTGAACGTTGGGTGGCTGTGGTCATTTCTTTCTTTTTTTTAATTCCACTTTTATTTTAGATGCAGAAGGTACATGTGCAGGTTTGTTACATGGGTATATTGCTATCTCTAACCAATCATTTCTGACCATAACCCTGAGACTATCACCCACCCAACTATGTGACTTTATGCATGTCAGGACATGCAGACACATGACTTTCCAGGGCATGTCTGCCATGTGGTACACTTAAAACACTAAAGAGGGCCGGGCCTGGGACAGGCTGATTCTCAGCTCCTCAGGAAGCCCCACTCCATGGGACAGTAATCATCTCTCTTCTAGTGTTGCTATTCAGCCACCTATTAAGCCAATTCTCACACTTTGCCAAAGGTAGTAATTTATTGAATTATAGATAAAAACTAAAGAAATGTGTATTGTAAATCCCTAGCAGGTTCTCAAATAGTAAAATATGCAGCCAACTTAATATAAACACCAAAATTGAAATCTAACTGTTCCTAAGTGCTTTTTATAAACATCTGCACTCTAATTCAACTAAACTGTTCACATAAATTTTATCATTTTTCTCTTCTGGGAAACATCAGTTATTTTTGGTCATTTTACTATGTGAAATGATCCCAGCCACATAAAACTGAATAAACCCACATGCTAACGTGATACTGCAGACGATACTAGCAAGTAGCACGGACAGAAAGGGAAAGTTTTCTCACAAAAATTGTTCGAAACATTTTGGACTCAAACCTGCAGCAGCAGCGTACCAGCGTGAGCTCTGGGTCCTGCAGCCAGGGTGGCAGCCCAGCAGCCTGGCTCATGGCCTGGAACAGCGTGGCCCTCAGTGCACAGTAATTATCACCACGGACTCGCCGTATGGAGGTGAACTTCTGAGAAACCTCCTCATAGCCCTGGGAAAAGGCATGAAAGAATTCAAAATGGTCATTACTGACTTGAGATAGCAGAGCAAGATTCATTCCTGTAGAAAACACTTGGCCTGGGATCACTGGGAAGATGCCCAATGTTGGAGCTTTATGTCCCTTTCTAGGAATTGTTGTAACACTTACTCACTGGCAACCAACATTTTGAAGGGTTTATCTGTGTTTTAAGTGACCCTAAACTCTTTAACAAAAAGGCAAGAAAAAAGAGAGACAAACTAAGTTTATATCTTCATATTAAGAAAATATAGAAAAACCTCAAGTTTCTAAAAAACAAAGGGAGGCAGTGTGAGGGGTGGGGGTGCTGTGTTCATGTGCATGTATATATAAAAGTCTATATGCCAGGAGATGGCTGAAAAACAATTCTGTTAGGCTTTTCTCTTTATCTTTTTTTTTTGAGATGGAGTTTCGCTCTTGTTGCCCCAGGCTGGAGTGCAGTGGCACAATCTTGGTTCACTGCAACCTCCCAGGTTCAAGCAATCCAAATGGAATATTCTGAAATGTACCCTGAAAAGACACCATAAAATCCTAGTGACTGAGCTGAGTAATGAACCGGCCCAAAGAGCCACAGCAGGACCACATCATACGAGTCCCCAATGTCATCTCACAGCCTTGGGGACTAACTTCAAGACACCAACCTATGCAATGAGGTTGGGAGGGGGCAGCTCCTGGGACACCTTAAATGAAAGAAGTAATTCCCGATTTTCCTGTGTAGGGAGTGCAAGAAGGTTCTAGGCCCCAGGACTAGGCAGGTGTGTAAGCAAACCCAATGTGCTGTGGGAAGCAGGAGTGCAGAATAGGGCTGAGGCATCCCTGAGGCTTTTATTTTACAACACCAGGCCAAAAAGGGCATTCCCAAATGGCCCCAAGAGGACAACCAATGGCTGGCCCTATCTGAATAGCAGAGTCAGATGTTTTTCAAAGAAATTAAGTTACTGAGTAACTGATGCCGATTCTATATTAATATCATGACTTAAAACAAATCCCTTATCTTTGGAGTCTATTTCCTTACCTCTAAAATTAGAACATCAATAATAAAGTCTATAGCAGTCATCTTAACTAATGTCTAAAAATATCAAATGACATATTAAACAACTTATGACAGACTATTTGAAAGACCTGAAATATGTGCATGTGTCATACCTTTTTCATACATGTTGCTTTCTGTGTATTTCCCCTCCATTCTTTTTTGCAGTAGTCCATGATATCCATTTCAGGAGCTACACTTAATCTTGGTTCTGTTAAAGAATTTAAAAAAAAAAAAAAAAAGCAAATAATAAATCAAAGCATAATCAGAATACTGTTTTAGTTGGGGGTTACCCTTCCTTCTTCATTTTCTTTCTTCATGTCAAAAAATCCAGAATTCAACCACTGCCTACCCCCTGGTCCGGACCACCATTACCTCACCCCTAGATAACCACGGTGGTCTCCCAATGGGTGTCCCTTGCCACCACACTCTCCAGACCATTCACCACATGGTAGCTAGCCAGGATGACACATCTAAACATGAGTCAGATGGTATCGATCACTCCTGGGCTCATAGAGCTCCAGAGGCTCCTGCCTCATGGCCTTATTCCTCATACAGTCCCCCTCTCTGCCTCTCTGGTCTCTGCTCCCACCATTCCCCACAATGACAGGGCTACAGCCTCTCAATACCCTCCAGCATACCTGGCTTGCTCTTCCCCACACCTGCAGCACTGTTCCCTCCCTCCATGCAGGCCTCTGCTCCAGGGTCGGCAGGCACCTTGTGTTATAATATCACACACACTTTTGCTCTCTATTCCTTTTATACTACAGTATTTGGTTTTTCTTCTTAGCACTCATCAATACCTGAAATATTTTTCTGTACCACCCCCAACCCCCACACACATACACGCCCATACAAAAATACAGTAAAACACAAGCTCCTTGAGGGCAGGGACTTTGTTTTGTTTCTCAGCTGTGTTATGTCCTCAGCATCTGGAGCTGCACTGACACACAAGTGCTCACGAATTCTTTTCTAATCAAATTAAAGATGTGACAGTTTGAACTATAAGAAAACACTTCTAAAAATGAGTAATCATTTTTATAACCATTTTACAAAGAAATAACACCTACTGTAACAAAAATTACATTTAATTATCTTGATGTATTTATGTCCTACCCTGATCCCAAAGAGCTGTAAGTAATGGATAATAAACGAGAAACTGACAGAACTCTCCATGCCTGTTAATCCACAGACCTCACCTGACTCTAACAACACATCCCCCAAAATTAAAAATACAACTCACCATCAGATAAATGTTATAGTTAAAAAAAAAAAAAAAAGACCTTTAGATTTTCCTAGTTCAATGTATGCGATTTGGGGTTTTTGTGGTACATGCATATACACGCACGTGTGTATATAAGCATGTGTGTTTTCGGAAGAAAATGAGGTAAATTCTTTGGCATATCTTGGCTTCCTTTTTAAATTATTGAAGGTGTAGCTGCTAGCAATGATTTTAGAATATAAATACAGAAGTACCTTATAACATATTTACTCCTGAGCAAGTTGTACATGAAATAAATGTTTTATTTAACTAAATTCAACAATATTTACTGAGTGTCTAAAATGTACCAAATATTGAGCTAGGAGCTGGGAATACAAGGTGATGAAGACAGTATTCTATCCTCAAGGGCCTTATGGATTACTGAAGAAAAGACAACAAGCACTTATAAACCACAGTGTGATAGGTACTAGGATGATCAGGAGCACAAAATTCTCCTTGCAAGTTAGGTAAATTTTTTTTTTTAATTTTTTTTAGGTAAACTCTTAAGGACTGCCAATTTTTCAAAATCTCATTGTGCATCTTTTTATAAAGAAAAGTAACCTTTTACATAAAACAGAAAACAATACATATACAGATAATAGACATATTTATTTGTGGCATACATTGGGATTACTTAAAAGTGAAGCAGGCTCCTGAGGTATAATATATAGAGACAACGAAGACCAATGCTGCACAGCCAATCCTTAAAGAACCTTCTTTTTTTTTTTTTAATTCAAGAAATACTTTTTGCATGTCTAGTTGGTGGATGGATGCATTCTCATGTATCTGTCTTTCCATTCACCTGCCCAAAAGGGAAGAAATGCAAACATCCAGAGTCAGGACACCTATTGGTCCACCTTTTTCCTCCAGGTAGGGTTATGGGCCTGAACAGAAAGCACATGTCCAGCTCAGAAAGGGCCTCCTGGAAAGGAAATCTACATTCCTGCTCTCCTCCCTGCAGTACTCATTCCTTTGCATATCAAGATAAGACCTGGCAACCTGAACAGGGTGGAGCAAGCCCAGCACTTCAGGACTGAGGAGAGGAAGCATAAGGCCTCACAGGCCAAAAGACCAAGCCACAGGCCATAGTCAAGTGCTAAATCAAAGGCCTATGTGGGGCCGTGAGGGTTGGGAAAATGGGTACCAGCACAGCTGGCGGCATCAAATACCTGAATTCTCATTCTGCTGTGGTCCTCTGTAAGGAGGACTCCAATGGCTACTACATGCCAGGTACCAGGCTAGGAGCTGGAGATGAAGGACAAGGCTGTACCTGACCTCAAGCAGTTTACGGAGTTAAACAGCACCTTTCTTTAGTTGCAAACTACATAGACTCTGCCATTTTCAAAAAAGGACATTTCGAACGTCAAGAAAATAAAAAATAGAAAAATAAGGAAGTTGAAAACCAGAAGAGTGGTAAAGCCAGGAGTTGAAATAACCAAGAGGTTTGTTCTTTAGCCACCACATGGGTGACAAAGACAAGAATCAGACCCCCAGAAGATGGGAAGTTAAAACTGAAACTCCTCCGGAAAGCAGGGACTCTCAAACAGAGGGTAGAATAAGACAGGAATCTCAATCTTTGTCTGTAATGGGCCAGATAGGAAATAAGTTAAGGCTTTGAGGGCCATAAGGTTTCTGTCACAGCTACTCAACTTTACCACGCATGAAAGCCACCACAGACCATACGTAATCCCAGCACTTTGGGAGGCTGAAGCAGGCAGATCACGAGGTCAGAAGTTAGAGACCAGCCTGACCAACATAGTGAAATCCCATCTCTACTAAAAATACAAAAATTAGCTGGGCGTGATGGCGTGTGCCTGTAATCCCAGCTGCTCAGGAGGCTGAGACAGAAGAATCACTTGAACCCAGGAAGTGGAAGTTGCAGTGAGCCGAGATCATGCCACTGCACTCTAGCCTGGGCAACAACAGAGCAAGACTCTGTCTCAAAAAAAAAAAAAAAAGAGAAAGAAAGAAAGAAAAAACTTTATTTATAAAACCAGGTGGTAAGTCAGATTTGGCCTTGAAGCCATAATTTGCAGACTCCCAGGTACGGTGGAAAAAATCTTATCACTAACAGAGAGGGTAAGAAAACTTTCTGCTCAGTCTGGGCTCTGCTTCAGGGGAGAGGGTAGTGAACATTATTTCAGGAAGGACACTGAACCCAGAAGGTCTGAGATGCAAGGAATGCAAGGGGATCCATTTCACTCTCAGACTAAAGCTAGGAGTTGCAAGACCCACTATAAAGCTTGATCACCTATGTGGGGTACAATGCCAAACAGAAGAGAATCACAACAGAAAGCCTATAGGATGGAAGACTGTCACCAGGTTAACAAACACCAGCTAAACACACACTTTCTTCTTAGGAATCTGACTAATGAGGACACTGCACTCTACATGAAATTTTGAGCAACCACAGCAATAGAGACTGAGCAGTCTCTGAAGTTTTATGGAAGACTGTAACAGTGCAACCCCAGAACACACCACTACTAAGAGTATCTCCTGTGGCTACCACAGTAAAGTGTTCACCAATTCCTTGAGAACGGCTCAAAAAGTATTATAAAAACCACACTGTGTATCATTTGTTCCTAATCACACATGGCAATGCTTTTGTTCGCCATAAACAGAAGCTAGTTCTCAAAAGCAGAACACAGACAAGGGTCTTCTAAGGTTCACGGAAAATTAGTTTTATGAAAAAGCTATGGATGGATTTCAATTTTTTTTGGTACCATGATAAACTCAAATTAACTTTTTATAACATGTATGAACAGGATCTAGTCTAAAGCACTGAGAAAGATAAGACATCAGTTTGAAAAGAGCCCCTGTTAGAGCAAATGAGTTCTGCTAAAATTAAAGCAAGAAAAAACATCAAATTTATGGTGAGGCATGGGCAAAAGAATGGTGAAATCACTTATGATTTATAAACAGTTTATAAGGACAATGCCCCAAAGAAATCAGCAGCTTACAAATGGATAACTCGTTTTCGTAAGGGACATAACGATGCTGAGGATGAAATCTGCAGTGTCAGACCATCCATATCAATTCAGGAGGAAAATATTAATCTTGCTTGTGTCCTAACTGAAGGGAACAAACAATTAACAGCAGAAACAATAGCCAACATCATAGACATCTCAACTGGTTCAGCTTACATAATTCTCACCAAAAAATTACAGTTGAGCAAACTTTCCACTCCATAGGTGCCAAAACCACCATTTCCAGATTAGGTGCTGACAGAAGCAAAGTTTTCAAAGGAAATTTTAAACAAGTGGGATCAAGACCCCGAAGCATTTCTTCAAAGAATTGTAATGGGAGATGAAACCTGGCTTCACCAGTACGATCCTGAAGACAAAGCACAACCCAAGCTATGGCCACCAAGAGGTGGAAGGGATCCAGTCAAAACAGAAGCAGACTGGTCAAGAGCAAAGGTCAGGGCAACAGTTTTTTGGGATGTTGAAGTATTTTGTTTGTTGACTTTCTAAAGGGCCAAAGGACAATTAACATCTGCTTATTCTGAGAGTGTTTTGAGAAAGCAAAAGCTTTAGCAGAAAAATGCCAGAGAAAGCTTCACCAAGAGTCCTCCTCCATCACAACAATGCTCCTACTCCTTCCTCTCAAACAAGGGCAAGTTTTGATGAGAAATCATTAGGCATCCACCTTACAGTCCTGATTTGGCTCCTTCTGACTTCCTTTGGTTTCCTAATCTTAAGAAGCCTTTAAAAAGGGACACACATTTTTCTTCAGCTTGTAATGTAAAAAAGACGCTGCATTCACATCATTAAATTCCCAGGCCTGTCAGTTCTTTAGGGATGAGGTCAACAAATGGCTGGTATCATCATTTAAAAGTGGCTTGAAACTGATGGAGCTTATGTTGAGAAATAGTTTATATATATATATAAACTTCATATATATATATATATATTTTTTTTTTTTTTTGAGACAGGGTCTCGCTGTTACCCAGGGTGGAGTGCAGCAGTGCGATCATGGCTCACTACAGCCTGAAACTCCCAGGCTGAAGGGGTTCCCCCACCACAGCCTCCTGAGTAGCTGGCACCATAAGCACGCACCACCACGCCTGACTAATTTTTGTATTTTTTGTAGAAACAGGGTCTCCTTGTTTGCCCAGGCTGGCTCAAACTCCTGGACTCAAGCAATCCACCCACCTCCGCCTCCCCAAGTGCTGGGATTACAGGTATGATCTACCACACCCAGCCTTCTATTTTTTAATTCCATTTTTCCATAACCTTTTTTATAGTCTTCTTATACATTAGTCACATAATGAGAGAGAAAATGCCACTTGTGATTATTCATGGAGTATCCCAAAATCAGAGTATCTCTATGCAGCTCCTGCATGAGGGCAGTCAGGGAACTAAGGATGGACATCACATGCAACCTTGCCAGCCAAGTCTCCATGGACCAGCGGAGGGGGCCAGGAGTAACACCTCACTCCAGCAGCAATGGGTCCTAGTAGGGGTAAGATCAGGCAAGACAAGAAAAACACAGACATGAAATCACAAAACAATGAGACTCTGTGCTACTGATCCCATCATTGTCTTTCTTATTAATCACATTCATATTGGTATCTGCATACAAAGATGCGCACAGCCAGTTTCTCAGTGAAGTCTTTCCATTTGAAATGAAAAACGCACTTCAAATCTGAACTCTCCCTCTAAGAATATAAGGAAATCAAGAACAGAGAGAGGATGGCGTCAAGAGATTAAACAAAATAATCCTCATAGGTGCGAAAAATGATATGAATGTAAAGAATGCAGAGGGAATGCTTGCATTAAAATTTAAAAACCTCAGGTAACAACAGTCTGTAAACATACCTCACCAAAACAAATAATCAATATTGAAAAGACCATATACGTAAGAATATTTCCTTTAATATTTTACGAAAATGGATATACTGATTTAGCTGCATTTTCTGCTATAAATAAGAATTCTATAAATAAAACAATTCCAAACATACCTGATGCCCCTCTTTCATGTATAAGCAATTCTTTCTCCTTTTCTATTTCATCTGCAGCACGGTACATGTCCTCCTCACTGAAATCACACCAAAGCAGACATTTTCAAACACTTGTTGCACTGACATTTTCCGTCCTATTACACAGCTGCTTACAAAATGCATAATACACTAAGGATTTAACTTTTTTCACTTTACATGATGATAATCTGATATAATATGGGTCTTCTGTGTTAAGGATAATGATGCGTATGTTTCCATCACACCACTTTCTTCTACTTCAGAATTTCTTACTTTAAATAAGACAAGTTACATCACTTCATTTGCTACATGGTTCTGAGGTCATTTTATTTGTAATGCCTATTAATGCTTCAACTATGTATCTAGACATCATAACATGCATTTTATTAGTGAAGCTCCTGAACTGATTCTGTCAAGTTCCAAAAACGGAGATAGCGCTGGCAAAAGTATTTATATAGGAATGCAGGCCCATTGCTGACCTTTGTAACATGTCACAAGCAAACCCAACAATAGCTACCTTAAAAACAAGAAGAGACTACCAATTACAAATTGCCAGAGCTGAAAAACCTCCTCGAACTCCTCCTGCTTCCTGACCCCACATTCAACCAGTCGCTCATGCAGCTGTGGCATATATTCCCACTGTCCCACTACTACTGACTTCTTACTCAGAATTTCCTTAAGAGTCTCTAGTGCTTTAGTTAACTAACAAGAGCCCACTAAGTACTACAAAGGGAAAAAATCCACTAGATGCTAGGCAATGATGAAGAATGGGACTTCTGGTTTGAAGACACCTCCTTTCTCCCTCAAGATTCATCCCAAAATGACAATAAAGGGAAATAGAAACACCAACTCTCTCTTTCATGAAACCGGAAGACAGGTGAAAGTCTGAAGAGGTGGAAAGCAGATGAAATGATAAATGACATGGGATAGGGAAGCCAAGGCTGGTGGATGGGCATCGGTGGAAGGCAAGCCAGCAAATCTGGCAGAACTCCAAAAAGGCTCAGGAATTGGAGGCACCAAGTCTTTCAGGGAGCATGAGTAACACACTGAGCAGAAAACAAGGAGAACTGCTGATGTTCACATAAGCAATGATCAGATCCCCGATTCCCCATACTTCTGCCTCATGAGAGCATACCCAATCCTCACACAAGGCTATAGACTCAATGAAACACAGGAAGGAGGAGGTGCCAGGCTAAAAACAAAAAAAGAAATTCAGTGAATGACTGAGATACCCCTACCCCCAATTCCCTCATCACCCTAGCGCCTGGTACATGGCCTAGTATAGTTGGGGGAAAGAGGAAGGGATCAGAGGGCAAGAGACAGATGAAGAAGAGGTACTGTGAGCGGCAGACTGTGGAAGGGAGTCTCATACGTCCCCATTAAAACCTTTCAGTGGTGCCCAAACGCTCAGAAAACTAACATCAAAATTACGACCTTACCCACCATTCTAGCCTGTATCCCATTATTTCCCTATGCACTATTCACACTCAGTCCAAATGCCCGACCAGCACTATCATGCGCCTGTACATCTCTGATTCGCTCAGATGTTCCCTCTTCCTGAATGGCCCACAATTCCTGACCTGCCCACTGCCTAACATGTCACAATGCACGCCATTTGGGTAAGCCCCTACAGAGTGCAATGGTTAGAATGGGGACCCAGGAATTCGACTGCCAGGGTTTATTTAACTAGTCCTCATTCCAGTCCTTATTAGCTGTATGACTAGAGTAACTACACCTCTCGGCATCTAGATTTAACCACGTGTCAAAATGGCAGTAGTCCTTTACTCACCTCCAAGGGCTACTGTAAGAAACAGATACATAGAAAATAATTAGCACTCAAAATTAAGTTAGCTGTTCTTATTAATTCTCATTTTATGCCCACTGGTGCAAAGTATTAATGAACAAACTGACTAATGATCATTTTTTTATTTGTTTCTCTATAAATATGTAACTGTGTGTATTTTAAAAGTATGGGGATGAGGGAACAAGTATCAGGAAAAGGTACTTTCCATGTGCTCTTGCTTCCAGTGAGATTTCAAGTAAAAAGTGTGATGTCACCCTTAGAGCTCATGCCAGAGCTAAAAACAAACAGAAACCTGATTCATGGGGACCATACATCAAAGGCCTAAAATAAAAAGTGAAGAAATATGTTCATTCTTCTCTTAATAATTTAACAACATCTTCCAGTCTCCTTCCTGGCTTTATAAGAGACAAATAGACAAATTCTAATCCTGTAAAACAGTCATTTAAGCAAATTACTTTCATGGTATCATTATCGGAAGCATACCTTTGGGCAAGTCACTTGCCCAACCTTGGCCTCGGTTTTCTCATCTTCAAAATGAGAAGACAGGAAGAGGCCATATAAGCTACATGGTTCCTCTTCCAGTTCTTTAGTCTATGAATATATTTGTCATGAAAATTGCACTTTGAGTGAAAGTGGCTATACTACATGCACATTTGGCTCTACTTTTGTTTTCTTCCTTTTTAATCTACAAAATAACCAAAATCCAAAACCAATACCCGGAGGAGGTTCTCTAAACAAGAGAATCTCCATCCCACAAATATAAATTCCTATGAAGGCCAAACAGGAAAGGAAAGAAAGAAACAACAGAACTAAATACAAAGGGAAGGTGAATGGGAAATTGCTGGAAATAAAAAGCAGTGATTTAGGATATATGAAAAAAGCAAAGCAGAAACAGAAGAATAAGAGAACCAGCGTATATTCAAATTGCTTTAACAACAACTGGATTTCACTCAGATCCTGTGCATGAACATTTGCTAACTTCATGGCCACCAAGGACATACAGAAAATGTAATATCACCTTTACTAAAGGCCACCATTAAAATAAAAATAATCCTGCTTGAAGCCAGGAGTTCAATAACAGCCTGGGCAAGAAAGCAAGAACCCACCTCTACAAAAACAAAAAAAAAATCCATTGGGTGTGCTGGCACTCACCTGTAATCCCCCCTACAGAGGAGACTGAGGAGAGAAGATCACTTAAGCCTAGGAGTTGGAGGCTGCAGTGAGCTATGATCACACCACTGCACTCCAGCCCAGGTGACAGAGACCCGGTCACTAAAAAAAAATAATTAATTAATTAATTAATTTTTAAAAAATAATCCCAAAGAGTAAGTTTTAGGTTTGGGCAATGAACCTCAATCAATATATTCAGGAAGGAGGACATTTCACAGCCAGAATGAAATAGTTACCCATTTAATAAAAAGATAAGCAAAAAGAAAGAAAGAAAGAAAGGAAGAAACAGAGCAAAAAAATAAAAATAAAAATGTTATTTTAAAAATGCTTCACTCTTTCCTTTTTATTGCTGAATAAACTTTCATCAAATAGAAAAAAAATGCTTCACTCTATAAACTTTTGCTTTAAGTATTAAAATAATAAAGCTGAAAATAATGACAAAATGAAATTATACTAAAACCTGGGCATCTGAAACAGGTAGAGAGTTTAAGTTTTTGTTATGGGATGGGAAGATAATAAAACAATGACAGGAACAGGGATTCGGTAACCTTTTGTGTGTCAAGTTGGGGTGGCAGTGGGGAGGTAACCACTCTGACACAGAAGAAACCAATGAAGCTCAACGACTCAGATGATCACCAGAGCAAAAAAAAAAAAAAAATTTCTTTTCTATGTTAAAGAAAAGTTAAGCCAAAGTCTAAATGACTTGATTTCCTGGCAGTCATACTCAATTCCACAGTTAAAATTTGTTAAAGGATATAAATAAAGGGTAAAATTACAGTTGGATAGAAGGAGTAAGTTCTAGTGTTCTATACCATTGTAGGATGACTATAGCTAATCATCTACTATACAGATTCAAACAGCTAAGAGAAAGATACTAAACGTTCCCAAAAACAAAGAAATGATAAACATTTGAGATGGACATGCTAATTACCCTGATCCGATCACTATAGTTATATATAACAAAACATCATTATGTGCCCCATAAATACGTATAATTTAAAAATAATTCAATTAAAAAATTATGTATGTGTTTCTTGAGACAGGATCTCACTCTGTTGCCCAGACTAGAATGCGGCCATACAACCACAGCTCACTGCAACCTCGACCTCCTAGGCTCAAGCAGTCCTCCCACCTCAGCCTCAAGTAGCTGGGACCACAGGTATGCACCACCACATCACGCTAATTTTTTAAATTTTGTATAAATTCAGGGTCTCACTATGTTGCCCAGGATGATCTTAAAGTCCTGAGCTCAAGAGATCCTCCCACCTTGGTCTCCCAAAGAGCTGGGATTATAGGTATGAGCCATCACACCCAGCCTAAATTTTAAAACCAAATGCTAACAATTCCTAATTAGAAAATTCTTAGTTTTGCAGCATGGCATTATTTTAAACTGTATACATATATTTTCAAGTTCCTATTAAACAATATTTACCTATTTTCTTTTTGTGCGTGTGGTGGAGTTTCGCTGTTGTCACCCAGGCTGGAGTGCAATGGCGCGCTGTCGGCTCACTGCAACCTCAGCCTCCCAGGTTCAAGCGATTCTCCTGCCTCAGCCTCCCAAGTAACTGGGATTACAGGTGTGTACCACCATGTCCAGCTAATTTTTATATTTTTAGTAGAGACTGGTTTTCACCACATTGGCCAGGCTGGTCTCAAACTCCTAATCTCAGGTGATCCACCTGCCTTGGCCTCCCAAAGTGCTGGGATTATAGGCATGAGCCACCATGCTTGGCCTGTTTTGTCTTAACCTAGAGATAAAATATTTTATTTTTGATATTAAGGCAATTTATCCAACTGAGTAAGCTATATGTTGCATACTAAATTATAACTGGAACCACCTGCTCTGTTCAAACATCTGCATACCAACCAATTTTTGAAAACATTTTAAACATGCTTACTATACAGACACAAAATTATACTATTCCCAAGAATAAAGGCCATGAGTTAAAAAAAAAAAGAGCTCAGTAAAGCAGAAGACATTTCTCTGAAGTCAATTTTTCAATTTCTGATTCAAGTAAACATGTAATAGAAAAAAAAAACAATTCTAATATATACGCAAAGCTAACACGACAGAATTTTAATCACTTGCCATTATGAACCTTTTAAAAATTGTTCCCCTTGGTTGTCTAAAAGAATTAAGTATGGCTTTTTTAATTCAGCTCTCTGGACTTGAACCCTGCAGTTCATACTTTACTTAACCTGTCCTATGAGACTAATGGCAACACTAAGGCAGTGTTGGTGAGGCAGTGTCAACCAATGTGACACTAACACACCTTCCCACACCAGCACAGGAAAAGCAAAGACCACTCAACCCAGCCATTCTCCACCACTTGTGGTTCAGAGATGGGTGAACAACTCATCAAATACAGGAAAGTACCGGCACCCAGGCCAAAATTCCAACCTCTTCTGCAAGTGGATTTTCCATGACTGGCTCATGCTACTCCATGTGACTTCCAGAGGTAACTGGGGTCAGTGAGCCACTCTCAATAAGGTTTGATTCTTAGCGATATTCCAGCTCTGGAACCCAAAGCAGGCTCTTCATCAGGTTGGGAGAAAGTGGACTTTAACCCTACTCCAAACTGTAGCAGCATCTAGGGGTGGGGTGGGGCAGAAAATACACCCACAAGAACAACAATGTACCACTTTTTTTGTTCACAGTCCCTTTGAGAATTCAGATTTCATCAGAACCTAAGCCCAGAAACATACATAAAATTGCTTTCAGTTTCAGAGGGGTTCACCAACAGTACGCCTCCACAAATTCAAATCCTGTCTCATGCTCAGAGAAGGGCCATGGAGTAGTCTCTTCTCAATTCCCTAAGAAATTCTGGCATCGCCACCAACCATGTCCCAGGACCAGATACAGCAGGAGTCACGTGTTGGGGGTGGAGTAAGCAGGGGATACAGCATAGGAGATCGGCAGAGGGAGCTTAAAGAATGTCAACTAATCTGGTCTGTCGTAAGATTTCCTCAAATGTGACCCTAAGTTATGTTTTGAGCCATCCTTAGTGCTTGCCCAGGAGATGTGAGCCAACCACATCTCTCAAATGCGCTGATTAGCGGATGGGAAAAAGGAAGAAAGGAAGGGAGGGAGGGAGGGAGAAAAGAAGGGAGGAAAAGAATAATTGCAATTACAAAGTAGCTTATCATTGGGTGCTGTGGCTCACAGACCTATAATCCTAGCACTTTGGAAGGCTGAGGCAAGAGGATTGTTTGAGCCCAAGAGTTCGAGACTAGGCTGAGCAACAAAGTAAGACTCTGTCTCCACAAAAAGTTTAAAAAAAAAAAAAAAAAAAAGCTGGGTATGGTGGCATGCACCTGTTGCCCCAGCTACTTAGGAGGCTGAGGTGGGAGGATCCCTTGAGCCCAAAAAGTTGAGGCTATAGTGAGCCATGATTGTGCCACTGCACTCCAGACTGGGCAACAGAGAGAGACCCCGTCTCAAACAAACAAACAAAAACAAAGTAGCTTATCCATGTGGTTTATATGTTTCTCTTCCTTCACTTCTCTCCCTTGTGAAATGTGATGAGCTTAGTGGAAAGGAATCAGAGTAACCTACTGTGTTGCCTAGGAAATAAGCCATCTCTTTCTCTACCCATCACCACAGCCTTCAGAATTACACCCTGAATGTCTAATTCAGCTGCAGAAGTTGGGCTATGATTTGTATTTGTAATTACTGTCCACTGAATGTATTAAAAATGACTCTGTAGGATATCTCAAAACTTCTACAGTCTTACGGTGTTCACACTTCCAAGTGCAAACATTTTAAATGATTCCTCTGCACAGCAGACCCAACTATCTGGGTGGAAAGAAAGGCCTTGACTCCAATGACAAAAAAAAAAAAAAAAGACTAAAAATGGACATTACACTATTTAAATTGATACTCAACTATTAAGCTGTATATATCATCATGCAAGAATAGACATAAATACCTTATATTGCAAACTTTATGTTTATATGATACCCGTAGCACAGTTTGTCTAGCCCATGAAGACACCATAGAGAAATAGCCCACTACTCAGATACTGCCGAATCAGAAAGATGGAAAAAGGCTAAAATGTCCAAAATTTAAGACATGATGCTCAAAAGGTGACATCTTAAACTCACCTCTCTTATTCTGCCCCATCTTATGAGAGGTAAAAGAGAATGAGATAATCAAACACAAAAAAAATGAGAAAACAAAATTAAGCTGCTTAAAAAAAAACACACACACAAACTAGAACATCTATTGGTAGGCAAACTTGGGAAGCAAACCAAGGGGGAAAAAAAAAAGTGAAGCTGGCTGTCACTATAAACCATGTATCTCTGCCTGGTTTTGCTGAGGAAGCCCAGAAGAGATAGGGGAGGTTCCCACTGATGCGTCAGGGTCTCTCTAGCCAAGCTACACTTAACAAATCTGCAAATGTGTAAAATGACAAACCTAGGCTAGCTTTTTTGCATTCCTTTCAGCTCTGAGTCTATATAGTTCCACTAGCAGCAGACAGAAGAGGCACCTGTGCCACAAAAACTTTCCAAGAAAGAGCACTTCTTCCTACCATTGTCTGTTTTCATAGGTGTTCAGACTGAGAATCACATCCACCAGAAAACTTGCCAAGTAACTACATATACTTTGGAGAACACAGTCTGGCTTCAAAGTTTCTGCCCTGCTCAGGGGGCATGAAACAGCTGGGGTTGAGGTGCAACATGGGACAGGGCATCAAATTAAGGTGTACATGATTCTAATCACCAGGGTAGGAGGAAGGCAAAGCAGCAATTAGGAACCAGCATGGGCCCATGAAGCAGGAGTTGGGGACAAGAGACCCCCTATTCAACCTTCTGCAGAGTCTGAGGTAAGTCTCTGATATGATTTGGGTACTTCTCCCCACCTCCTACTCCACCAATCTCATGCTGAAATGTAATCCCCAGGGTTGGAGGTGAGCCTAGGGGGAGGTGATTGGATTATGGGGGTAGATCCCTCATGAATGGCTTAACACCACGCTCTTGGTGATGAGTGTGTTCTTAGTTCACGCAAGATTTGGTTGCTTAAAAGTCTGTGGCACCTCACCCCCACCTCACTCCCTCTCTCGCCATGTGATCACCTGGTCCTGG